AGAGAGAGAGAGAGAGAGAGAGAGAGAGAGAGAGAGAGAGAGAGAGAGAGAGAGAGAGAAAGAAAGACAGGCAGAAAAGAGAAAGAGAGAAAAAGACAGACGGAGAAAGGGAGAAGCAAGAACGGAAGACGAAACGGAATCGCTGAGAGGGACGGGACTATTCGAGCCCGAGTAAACTCGCGCACGTCGTCGCCGATAGCTTTTCCTCCGCTCATCGATGCGAGCCACGACGTGAGAATCGTCGGACGAGCGACGGCGCGACAACGGACTCCGTCGCCGACGGATCGCGAGAAAGCGCCGAGCGTCTGGCGTGTACGAGACCACCACATCGGGAGTCTCGCTGCTCACCGAGCCGAGAGAAAGACGAGAAGAGAGGGAACACAGAAGCAGCGAGAGACGAAGGAGTGGAGTCGAGTCCGACGGAGAGAGTGTGCCAAAGAGAAAAATCGCCGATAGAGAGACAATAACAACGTGGGAGAGAGAAACAGAGAGAAGGAGCCGTTGGTGCCTGTTGGTTCGTTGATTCATTCGTTCATACGTATGTACATTCGTTCGCTCGCTCGTTCGTTCGTTGTTGATTCAACGTGATACTTAGCACCGACGACGCGAATCAGTGTTCTCGAGCGCGCCGAGTCTCGCGACATCCCCATATATCCGGCGACGAGGAAAGGAGGAGAAGGAGAGAAGGAAGAGGAGGAGGAGGAGCACGAGCAACAGCAGTAGTCCGGAAAGTTTTGTTTTGATCGGCGGAGTCGCGCGGTCCCGCGATCTCATTTCCCATCTCTCTCACCCCGTGCCTCTCGGTGCACGACCACCACGAGCGGCCGCGGGGGTGCCGCCGTCGTATCGGTGCTGGGGAGATATCGATCGCGCGCGCGGGACCATTGACGTCGTTCGCCAGCGTTCTGGAGAACGGCTGAACGCGGAAAGGGAGCAAGCGAGAAAGAGGAGACAGACAGAAAGAGAGGCGGCGAGCGACGACGACGGTACTCCCATCGCCGGCGACCCGGCGCTCGCTAACAACAGCAGCAGCGGTAGCAGCGAGTCTTCGTCACCGTCGTCGTCGTCGTCCTTCAGCAGCGGTGCGCGCGCGCGCGTGCGCGTTCACGCGGCGTGTCCTCGAGTGCGATCGCGATCGCGATTTGGCGCGGCGCGGTGCGGTGCGGTGCGACGCGGCGCGGCGTGTCGCGTCGCGGCGCCGATCCCGAGGATCGCCCGCTCGCTCGGCCTCGCTCCCGTTGACGCTTTCGCGCACGAGGAGATCGATCGATACGCGCTGCCTCGGCAGGAACTCGGCCGGCCGACCCGACGTCGTCGACATGCCCCGTTGATGATCCAGCAGGCTGCCCGGCTGCGAGATCCGGTGAGTTTTACCAAACGCAGTAGCGGCGACGAGTAAAAAAGAGGTTAGAGAGAGAGAGAAAGAGAGAGAAAGAAAGACAGAGAGAGAGAGAGAGAGGGAGACAGACGGAGCGAGTGAGAAAGAGGGAAAGAATGAGCGAGGGAGTGAGGGAGTGAAGGAGTGAGACAGCGAGAAACAGAGAGGGACGCATGCGGTTGAGATAGAGAGGAGGGAGATAGGGAGAAACAGTCTTTCGGTCACGGTGAATCTCCATCGAGACCTCTCTCCCCACTATCGATGTTCGTTAGGTATGCGTGTGCGTCTTCTTGGACCCCGTCCAGGTCGGTATCTCGAGCGCGCCTGTCCGACGCTCGTCGTCTCGAGGTTCTCTTTAACGACGCGCCACGACCCTCGCCGGAGAGAACCGGACCGGCTAAAGTCTAGCTCTCGTGAACGCGCTCACGGGCCAGAAGCCGACGGTTCTCTTGCGTTTGCTCTCTCTCTCTCTCTCTTTCTCTTTCTTTTTTTTCTCTCTCACTCTTTCTTTCCCTGTCGTGTTAATGATCGCCGATTTCTCCCACGACCATCCGATCGGCTTGGATCGAAGCTGCGCACTGTGCAATTTGAGGCGCTCGCATTTTATTGTCGCAACGAACATCAGACCTACCGTCGTGAGATAACGGTCGTTATTATTGAAACCGGAGGTTTCCCTTCGCCACCTCGCGTCATAATAACAATGGCAATTCGACGACGCTGAATAGTAATCGCGAGTAACGAGGTAAC